AGGAAGTGTCTGGAGAGAGGGAAGTCTGGGCATCTTTGCTTAGACTGCTGCCCCCGCAACCCGGTCCCGGATAAGCGGAGGAAAATGGATGGATGGACAAACAATATGCAATCCATGGAAATGTTTTTAAAAAAGTAAAATAAAAGAATCTTTCAATGAAACTACATTATTAAATGCATGAACAGGGACCACCTGCAGTGCCTTGGTGGACCACTTGTTGAAAACCCCTGATCTACCTTCTTCAGTCCACGTTTCCCTCACTCGTGTTTTAGTCCCACCCACATAAGATGCAAGGAGAAACTGCGAGAGAGGAACCAGGGACACACGTTCTAGCTGACATGAGATGTCCTTTGCACGTTGTACAGCGTTTAGCATTGTATACTGTATACTTATTGTATATTATACTGTTTAAATAGTTTTTACAGGTTATTCTGTTTACACCATGTATAGTAATGCAAACTTATTCTTGGAAACTTTTTTTGTTAAACGTCCTTACTGAGCTATTGAAATAACAGAATTGGCTTTTGGGGACTAATAAAGTACTGTACTCTGTCATTCTATCTATATCACTGCAAGCTGTACTTTATAAAAACATTACTATAACTAACAAGTATGTTTTTGTGTGCTACTGAATGAGGCGGCGGGGATTTTTATAGCTGTGCATGAATATGTGGGTGTGGCAGGAACTTGTGTAACATCTAAGAACTGTGCTTGCCCAAACAGTTAAATATATTAACTCAAATAAGAAACAACTTAAATGCATGTAAAAATATAAGGTCAGAAATACAGAACATGTTTCCGGTACCTGTTTCAAAGCTTTCTTGCTGTGTTTCTGTGAGGGAGAGATGAGCTTACTGGTGGGAAGAGAAGGCGACGCGCATCGAGGCTGTGGAGATGACGGCTGCGACTGCAGTTTGGAGGGAACTATGAAACAGAAAAGCAGAAAACAGATGTTATAAAATCCACTTCCTGAGGGTGGTGTACAAACTTTAACACATCATGCTTTTGTTTTGATGAAACTGAAACCAATACAGTGCACAAAGAAGCAGATTACATTACCATGCTAAAATATCACATTACTAAAAAAAGGGCTGAACATCACAATAGGAAGATTGTTTAGAACAACGCCCCTCTCTCTCTACCATTTCTAATAAAACATATTTTCTACATACCATAGCAACTCCACTTGTTTCTTATTTGATGCCACTTAATTTGCATTTGACTTTGTGGTTCTTTACATCAATAGATTAAAAAAATCTAACAATACTGGCATCCTCCCACTCAGCTATAAACCAAGGTTATTTGCTTAGCAGTTTCTAAATTCTGCACAATGAGGAAGTGGTCACGGGTTATACTGAGAAAATAATTTCCTGTTTAACAGTCATGTAAAATATTTAAGCAGCATAGAAAAAAAATGAGTCAGTGAGAGCACAGCTGTGCAAAACAAAATAATTGGTACTTGATGGAAAGCTCATTCTCCAAAGTTGCACTGCAGACACTCAGGTGTGCAATTCACAATAAAACAATGATCTGACCCCACCAACTGCTGTAGTATGATCATCATGTACAGCCTGCAGCCACTCTGTTTACAATTAACATAAGACATCATGGACACATTATGTTTGTTTAAAGATAAAACCCACCTTTTGCTATCATCATGTTTGATGCTCAGTGTATTCCAGAAAATATGCTGTGATGAGATGGTGTAATTTATGTTTGTGGTGAGCCACCTTCCCTCAATTTGCCTCATCTGCTGCTACTTCAGCTGGCTTCCTGTGTTTCTGCAATGACTTTTAACAGCGGCTGAGAAGGGACGTCAGCTCATGTTGACTTAACAGAGCTAGGTAACCAGTCAGCAAAAATCAGCTAATGAAGAGCGCTATATACTTTACTTACTGCTTTATTATTACTGAGGCTACTGTCCATGGGGAATCTCTTCTATTAGTTCTAGCTGAATAATTGCTGAACGCTAGTGCACAATAATGTGACAAGAAAGAAGCCCATACACTTTAATAATGCTGTTCCTGCAACCAGCAACATTTAGCTATTACATAATTAATTTCTTCTTTCTTTCTTTCTTCTTCTTTTCCAATAAACAGGTTTTAGAGACAGTAGTATGTAAACCTTTCTTTAAGTCATGACTTTAAATGATGCACCAATGGTACAAACTGTTATGTGCAATCCTGTACACGGTGCACAATACCTCTCCGCATCCACCTCCCTCTTCTGCCTTCCTGGGTGATAGCACTGCTGCTGCTGCTGCTGTTTTCTGTGCTTCGGGAGTCAGAAAGATTGTCACTGCTCTCCTCAGAGCCCTCCTCAGATAGCTCCTTCGCCACATCTGAGATGTCCTTCTACACAGAAAACAGAGCAGATACAGGACATTATTTTTACATAATAGAAAAAGTAGAGGAAGCATAGCAGAGAAAAATAAGAAAAAAATACTGGAGTATACAGTCCCCTCAAGGTTATAAAATTAACTCACAGCATTCATACTTTGTCTAGTCTGAACACAATTTTGTTATTAGCATGTCATGACGCTAAACCTGTTAATATTTACATACATTTCTCAGTCTCCAGATGATAAAACAGTTGCAATTAGCAAAACAAATATCTTTTACAGAGTAATGAAAGCAGCTTTGTGCCTAGCTAACCTTCAATGTGTAGACTCCCATTCTGCCTGGGACTTTGTAGAAGATCCCCTCCTCACCACGTGAGTTTGTGTGCAGCATTGCATTCAGACATGCCAGCGGCGAGGTTCCACTGTATCACAAGAGAAAAACAAGTTACACATCTGTTCCTCAATAAATCAGACAGCTGGGAGAAAGATGTGAGAAGGATAAAGGCTGGTCTGATATAAGGGGAGAAATTGCTATCATGCATCAGAAGGGCATATGTGAGTTCAGTTCAGATTCACATCAGTATACTTGGGAGGAAACTTGCTCTATGTTTTTTGAGGAATCAGTTGTATAAAGATGATTCAAAGCCAATCTGATCATTGAAAGAGACTGCTATTCTTACATTAAAGTGCTCTGACATGAAAATGACTGTGGCATAAAATCATGACTAGCTCAGTCATGCAAGACATCCAGATGTACTTAGTGAAACTATTGTAATGTATTTAACTTACGATTCAGTGAGTTAGAGAAAAATCCTACATTTGTCATTCATTTACACTAGTTAGGCTAAAAATATTCTATAAAGTTAACACCTATCATACTTTATAATAGTGTAAAACACAATGAAAGAATTTTTATGCAACAGGTGGCTCTAGGAAATCTAAATATGAATGTTGTGCTGTGTCTTTATGCAACTGAATCTAGGACGTTACTGTTAATACCATGCAAAAGGTAAAACCAAACAAAGTGGCACTGCAGTGAGTTTGTTAGGGTAAGGGGTAGGGTCTAGCTTTCTCTTACCTTCTGGATGAGAACAATGACAATGAAACAAAAAGAAATGAAACAATTATTAATTGAGAAAAAATAATCGATGACTATGCGATCAAGAAAAAGGAAAGTACATGATATGAGCAATCAATAACAGAAGTGGACAGTTGTAGTGCTCTCGTTCTAACAGGAGGGAATTTGCTGTAGCAAAGCCATGATGTTGGGAAAATGTTTACCTTATTTCTTTAAGTCTTTCTCTTTGGATCACCTGCAAGATTTCTTTATGGCTCATAGGCGTGTTAGGGTATTTCTCCAAAACCTATGAAAGTGAAACAGATTATAAAATAATGCATGATAAATTTTTACTGTTAAAAAAGTGGTCTTCGTCAAACATGATGTGGTCCTCAGGGTAGCCAGGTCTGAGAGTTCACATACTGAGGCTTTCTGACAAGTTTCTGCAAAGCCTCATTCCCCCACTGTCAAAGTGCAGGATATGAACCACAAACCTTCTGCAAACATTGCGGGTCTTTGACGCTATTATATCAAGATATAGGCATTAATGACGTTGACCTGCTCTCCAGACCAAATGCTAATCTAAATCATACTTATAACAAATGACAAGTGGTTAACTGCTAGGTCATATTTTTCACGTATGGCTGAGATACTGTCATTGTAGGAAACACTGCCATGTTAACATGAACAAGAAATGCAGCAAGATCTCAAACGCTTAAACAAAACGGTAATATTAACTAAAAGCAAAACATGTCAATAGCATATCAGTTGACTAACATTACATCAACTTTCCAACATAAAAAACATCTGAAGTCGAGCAAACAATGTTGGTTTTATTTTACGGCCGCCTTCTGTGTTTTTGTGACGACTGTTCGTATAGCCCCGCATTGCTGGAGTATGTTGACAGTAAAACAAGACTTCACAAGTATTTAGAAACACATTGTTCCACTTAAAAATATCTTTACCGTATGGAGTTAGTATTTTAGCATGTGGTGTGTTACTGCAATTAACTCCGTGGAGCTAATACATCACTGGACAGTAGATGTCAACACAAGAAATAACGAAACGAAATAATTAAAGTTGTTGGGAGTTTTAGTATTTTAACTTACTCATTAGCACGCTAAGCTAAACAGCTAGCTGCAACGTTAGCAACATTCATTACTGTACTTTGATATCTCGCTAACGTTGGCATGCAATCGAGTAATAAACCTAGTTATCTAGCTAATATGTAGTTAATGGAACATATGGAGTAATTCATTAATATGGACATTACACATTCTACTGTGTTTTATTTGCAACTGATAGCAAACAAACTTGTTGACGAACTGACTTGCATTAGCGTATGCTAGCGTGCTAACCTGGCTAGCGCGCAACACTGACGCGCTTTACGGTTATTTTATTCGACTTCAAATCTTGAGACATGTCATCGGCGCCGCACAGACACAACACACACAAGAGTCTCCGGACCATGCCTGGGTTTACACGGCTCACATTTATTTCGCTGCATTTATGCTTAACGGTGATAGAGTATGTAAGCTAGACAGCGAGTGACAGCAGCTTCTGGCCGTCAACACAGGCCTTGCGCGGTGCACGCAGCATTTCGTCTTCACCAGCAGGTCATGAACTCATAAACACAGTTGTACAAGTGGGAGCGTTCAAGGAAAACAACCACAACAAATGGTAGATAAAAAACACCCCGAGTACCGTTTTGGCGGCTTCCGCCCATGTCCTCCCTTTCTTTTTCTTCTGTCTCTCCCTCATTGTGGGTGTCTTGTTGCAGAGTAGAGTTGAAACTGTTTCAGTTGAAATGTTGCATTAGTTACCGCGTAAGATCCACTCCGTCTGCCATGTTGGACTTACTGTAAAGAATCACGTGACTCTGAAGAAAACGTCATCTTACTGTATATTTCAAAGTCCTCAAGTTTCCCACATGTAGCTGTCAACTTTAATTATGACATGGGTCATAGGAAGACTGCAGAATAACTGCAGCTATAGGGAAAAATACAGTAGGCAGTTTAAAGTCATTTCAGTTTGTTTATTTTCATGTGTAAGCAACTGGACTGTGCACAATTTCACAACTATGAAAAATAAGGCAGCTAAACAAGAGAGCACTGCAAGCTTTCTTCACATTTTTGGCTCACAATTACATTAGCTAGAAACTGAAGCAACAATTCATCAAGCATAACCCATCGCCCTCCACTGACCAGATACATTGTGTAGTCTTTTACCTTTGGAAAAGGGGGACTGAAGTGTTTTTGTTGAGTAAAAACTTGATCAAAGAAAATAAAATTGCAATCAGGACTGAAAATGTCCCTGAAACAGTCTACATATATCAAACCTGGGAGTTATGGCTGTGCTATCTGGGTAGGCCAGTGATAGAAATGGTTTAGAAGCAGCAAGCAAACAGGCAAAGATCACTTCAAAGAGCTCCACAGACTCCACTGCATTCATGTGACAGACACAGCGAAAATGACCGGTTTGCCTTTCCAGTTAAGTTAAATACATGCTTACTAAAGTAATTCAAATAGGGGAAATTTAAATAAATTTAAAATCAAGGCATAATATTTTCCCCCATCGCTCCCACTTGCTCCTTAGCCAGTCTGAAGTCCTTAGTGCCACCGCGGCCAATAGGTACAGGTGTACTAACACTTATCAGGGGCTTGTCTGAACTGGCTCTCCCACTGGAAGATAGGCAGCAGAGGATGGTCTTTGTCTCTGAGAGGGAGAGAAGCTCTGAGATGTCAGAGTGGTCGATGATGAGGATGATGTGACAGAGGCTGTCTGTGGTGCCTGGTACCTGTTGATCATTAAAAAAAAAAGTCCTTCTTATTTAAGATTCAGTATGTTTGTTTTTTACAGTCCCATCTCACAAAATTACCAAATGTATCTAAAGGATTTCAACAGGCATTTAAAATTTCATATCAGTGGATTTATATGTAAAGAACCATTGGTATCTGGGGAGAAATTGGTCAATAGTAATGTACAGTACCTATAGCGTGTAGTTAGATGGAGGGAAAACACTTGTATAGGGCTGTTAAAACTCACTTTTTGCATTGTGCTACATCTTACAAAATGAACAGCCCACCCCACAGTTAAGACACTACTAATACATGCTTATAACTGTATTTCAGATATTAAGAATGGCCTGACAGTGGAGTCAACATGACTGCAAAACATAATCCAATTCTTACCCGTTCTTCACAGGATTTTGCAGTGACAAAGTTCAGACTTATCCTGAGTTAATGCTCCTAAAATGGGCTTTTTCAGAGCATGTGAAAACATTTGCTTTTCTCCACTGTTCTCTCACCAGGATTTGGATTTCCTGACTCGTGACGATACAGTGGTCCTCTCGCTAATGGGAAGATCCCACAACAGCCTGGGAGTAAAGGCTCTCTCCAGGTGAGCTCCATTAAAATTCAAGGTGAACATGGTTGGTGGAGACATGTCTAACTCCAGCAGCATTATATTCTCAGCCTGTCAGAACAAATAACAAAAAGTTATAAAAGCATAAATACATACACAAATGTATTTTTAAGATGCCTCCCTGGTTCCTGCTATGCTCCCAATTGCTATGTTAATTTTTGGTTCCATCTGTTTGCTGTAAGTGCAAATTCAATACATACTCTACCAGTTTCAATTAAAAATCCAGCAGATCAAGCACATACACTAATCCATCCCCTTTCCTTAAAAGCCTCTAATATGACACATGCATTAAATGTAATATTTTATTAATAGTTTCTTAAAAACAAAGCATTGCAAAGTAGGCTCCACTGCAGTTTTTAAACTCAGAGCAGCAGAGTGGGGAATATATATATATATATAATGCTGTTAAAATGGAGATCATGGTAAATGTATTTATAATTCTTATATTAATACTGCATGTAAACAAATACACTACAAGTATGCTTTTTTTTTTCTCGCTGACCTTCATTTATTTGAAATGACTGCATCCACTGCTATTATTTGAGTACAGTATTTGCTTTGTGACATTACACTGATTATTCTAGAAAAAGATGTGAATGGTTTCCATGGTTACATCCATCTTTACATCCTCCAGCCAAGGTGTCTTTGAACATGGAAACAGGTTGTATAAGAACACTGTTTCACATCTCTTTCTCTGCTGCACGTTTGCCAGCTGACCTTGTGAACATCTGAAAACTGACCTGGTACCTGGATGGGTCCACCGTTGCCGTGGCAACAGCCATTTGTGCATATTGACTGATTGGCCTCTTATGTCCCACAGCCGAGATTGGTCTTCTTTTGACTTGAGTGGGTGCACTGGCATAAAGACATGGGAGAGGAAGAGTTAGTTTGCTGCACTTATACTTTGTGTATAATGGCTGAGATGCTAATCTCTGGAGTCTCATGTTCCCCACAAATGTTCAACTGATCAGCCACCAGAAAAATCAGTCTTTTATCTCCTGTGCTATCTTTTACTCAGCTTTCTTCTTAGTAAAGAAGAATACTAAGGAGGCTAGTTTCTGGTCTCCTTTGTATAAAAGACATAAATATTTCCTGTAAAGGCACAATTCAAAAATGATCTATAAATACAATGTGTGTGGAAAAAAATCTGACTTGGCGTCCCCTAGTGGTAGCATCAAAAAGACAATGGCTACCACTGACCTAAAAAAGTGTTCTTAAAACAATTTGAAAGATAAACTGATGTATCATCAGTCATTTTCTACATTTCCCAGAATGTTGACCAATAGCCCTTGCAGAGGGAATGTGCAGGCACATTCACGTGTGACATATGAAGGCCCAAAGACTAATCTAATAGCTACAACAAGCTGAATGTTTTTGTAGTTGTGTAGGAGAAATTCTCACTTGCTTTACTTAAAAAGCTGCATTGCAGGTAACTGATGTCGCAGAAAATGGTGTCTCTGCTGCTTAGTGATAGATTTCACCCAGCAGAGCAGTTTTATGTCTTATGAGATCCAGCGCTGATTTACAGTTTGTTTTAAGGTTTTGTGCTCTTTAATGCGCCCCTTACACAGTGTCTTATGTCAGCTCAAAAGTGAATCACTGACCTCTCAGATGGAATGACTGGCTGGAGTCTCCACTGATCCTCCTCACTGTCGAAGTGCAGCCTGTTCATAATCTTGTTCTTTTCCTCAGGAGGTATGAAATTCTCAATTAAGAGATATCTGCAGAATGCAATACAGGTGTCAGCTAAGGTGTGTGTGTGTGTGTGTGTGTGTGTTCAGTAACATGGGTTGTGTACTTACTTGTACTTGAGTTCTCTGGTGAGTTCGTTCTGTGTCTGTTCAAGCTCCTGTCTGGTTATGATGTGTTCATCAATGACATCATCTATCTCCCCCTTCACCAGCTGTAGCTTGGTATACAACTGAAGAGAAAACGGACATTACTGATTTCACCAAAGCTGCACTATTTAAATGTTAGCAAGAAAACCACATTAACAGCTTAATCAGAATCTGGAGTTATAATAGAAAATGTGAATCCATTCACAAAATTATTGTAGAGTTGTCAAAGGAAATATGGTCTCTACCAACCAGAAATGAGAAATTGCATTATTCCTATCAGGAAGTAAAAGTGCTATGGCCAGAGAATCCAGAGATCATTATTTGCAAACAGGATTAATAGATTAAATATCAGGTAATTAAAAAAAAAAAAAAAAAGACATTGCAACATATCAGCAGCTGAGTCATCGTACCCTCTTTAGCTTCTTTGTCTTTAGTTCCACCTCCTGCTGCAGGGAGGAGAATGTTTCTTTCATTTCTAAGGTCTCTTCGTCCTGCAGCATCATCTGCTGCTGGAGCTCTCTCTCACGTCTTATCTGCAAATCAGGTGAACATTCAGCTCCATTAATGTTGAATGCAAATAATAAACCTTTCAAAATGAAGGTAATTTTCACAAAACCTCTGTGTACATTCAGACAACCTACTATTATTCTTGTGCAGAAAAGTAACATGAAAATATGTTTTATAAGGAATATTGCTGGGGGAAAAAATCAACCAAAACAGTACTTTATTTTTTATTGTTTTTATAAACTATTAATTACCTGTTCTGCAATCTCCTGCCTCTTTAGCTCCAGCATTTTCTGTTGTTCATTGGTGTGATCAATTATAGTCTTTCCTCCAACTAACAGCTTACTCTCCATAGCCTGCAAACAAAGACATGCCTTTAATTGTTTATGCAAATTTCTTTTGTTCCTCCGGTGCCTCATTTATCAGACACTCTGCTTTTTAATCACAAGGCACATGATCTCATGTACCTTATATTTCTCTATAATCTTCTCCAAAGCATCTTGATCCCACTCCATGTCCTCTATACTTTTTCTGTATTCCTTCACATGCTTCAACTTCTCACTGCTTTCTTGGCAGGTCAGAACTTTGGGGACATCATCCCACTTTTTCATGTAAAATTTCACCTCTGATTCCTCCTCAGCAGCCTTCCAAACCTCCACATCCCTCTCTTTAACTGTCTCCTCTTCCATACCAGCCATAATTTTACTCAGTCTTTTGCTGTTCCTTCTCGTCCTCCTCTCCTTTGCAAGCGTTACGCGCTCCTCCAGTTGTACTTTCAACCGGGCAATCTCCTCCTGAAACTCCCTCAGCAGGGCATCTTTGGGGTCCTCATTAATCCGAGGTTTGTTCTTTATGTTCTTGGCCCTGTTGGCGTACCTCAGTGTGGACAGGGATTCATCAAAGTTCTTGTGTGAAGGTCCCACTGTAGCAATCATGACAGTCTTTGCATTGCCACCCAGCGAGTCCTGGAGCAAGCGGGTCAGTTTGGAGTCTCTATACGGGACATGAGTGCTCTTCCCATCTGCCAGAGCTGAAATGACATTCCCCAGAGCTGAAAGAGACAGGTTGATTTTGGCTGCTTCCTTAAGTCTCTTCCCTTTAGCACCTGTTTTGCTCTGGCGCTCGCTGCCAGCCAGGTCAACCATATTCAGCTTCCCAACACGGATGTGATCCTCACCGTCTGGCCCTACTTCACTGCACTCCACAGTGATGACAAAAATGGCATGAGACCGGGAGCTATGTTCATTCATGTTGGTGAACCCCACAGACCTGGACTGGTTGCCTATGCTCATCACATGTTCAATCTCTGTGGCATTCTTTGTGACCACTGATGACAGGTCTTTTACATAAACCCCAAACTCTGGATTTTCTTTAAGCTCCAGTTTCTTGTTGTTATCTTTGCACAGCAGATCTCTTATTTCCTCCTGGTAAATCTCCAGATATGATGACCGCACCAGGTATTTCTGATTCTGAGTTCTGGATATTTGTGTGAAAATGTGCTTAAATGAATTTGGTATAACCCCGCTCCTCTCTGGGTCGTTTGACAACCCTTGCATGGTGTATGTTTTACCTGTCCCAGTTTGTCCGTAGGCAAATATAGTCCCGTTAAAGCCTTGAAGCACAGACTCCACGAGAGGTCTCACTGCATCATCATAAATGTCGCTTTGTTTTGAATCCCAGCCATACACAGAATCAAACGTGAATACTTTCATTGGCTCATCAGGTGGTGCCTTCGGGTTCCTGACGGTGATTTGCCCCCGTTTGTCATCAATCTCCAAAATGTTTTCACACTCTACCCCCTCTCTTCTGCTGAACGGCCGGCAGCGGACCACCACCTTGACCGCCTCGCAATGTTTGGTTTTAGACATTTTGGTTAAATGGAAAAGGACATAACTATCCTCGCTGCGTTAAAAAGCCACCGACTCGGGCGGTGGCCAGTTCTGCGCGTCTTTCCGTCTCCATACAGGTGCAATAGAAAGCGTCTGTCAGACATTCCTCGTATGCGCAAACCTCATCCGTTATCATCCCGATTAACGCAACGTCTCCTCCACTCAGAGCATCTTTCAGAAAAAAGCAATGTCACAAGATATTAAAGGATGCTGCTGAAGAAAAACACCCAGCCAGCCCAGCCCAGCCCACACAGCCTCCCAGCCGTACACACCCTGCTCTGCGGACAATGGAAATCAGACACGTGACTTGCCCAACGAATAGGATTCGAGCAAATCTTCATGGTACCACAGCTCTGGTCTAATTCTGTAATGGTGATAAATTACTCTCTGTCTAACACGTGAACGCACCTAGAGAGGAAAATACAGGTTTGATTCAGTAACAAACAATTTTATTAACGCTTGACATTTACATAACTGTTCAGACATTAATTACATTTGCATGAACCATACAGCTAAACATTCATCCAACATGAACAAAGAATTTGCCAGTTGGAAATGATTTAATCTTTTGTCTGGACTGCCTCATTATGTGTGAGTAGTTAGCCCTCATAGGATCCTCAGTCTATATGCCATCAGGTAAATCAATATTAATGTAAAAAAAAAAAGAAGAGGGGTCTATTACTGCTGAAATTTACACTCAGTTGCCAGTATGACATGAAGTAGGAGCAAACAGAAAATACACCAATCTGCCAGTTTATTAGGTACACCTAGCCCAAACCACTTTAGAGTGGAGCTTGAGTCAACTGTATGATCATTTTCCAGGCTTATCTGCACCTCATTTTTATTTGGCAAAATAACAAAAACGCCTATATATAGGACAATACAGCCACTCAACATTATTACCTTCATGGAGGTATAATTTCTCTCAGGGCTTTTGCTTTAGACCACATTAGGTTTAGTCAGTTGTACCTAATGAACTGGCAACTAAGCTTATTTTCAGTATGTTTGCCTCCCCTCATGTAAATGTTCAGCACAGTCTAGAGGCAGATGGGAGCTTCATTGCAATCTTCTAGCACACATGGAGAGCTGGTCACTTGTAAAATTTCTTGCTAGAATCTTTTGCATGATCCAGTAGGAGTTGGCAGGGTGTGAACTGATTCCCATAGACAGCTTCGTATGTCCTCATCTTTGCCACTAGTTTGTCAGCGCCAAAGATGTCCACAAAACGGAAAGGTCCTGGAAGCAGTGAGATACTGTGTTAGAAATATTATCACAACAAACTGATATCCCTGTTAAACAAGGACTCTGTTTCTTTTCATTACTCTGAAGAGAAGAGCTATTCTACAAATGCCAGCTGGGTTACTGACCTACAGCTAACATTAGGAAAACATTTAAGTTGGTCCTTAAGATCTTTATTCCATCACTACTATTTGTAGGCTTTCAAATTCACATGAAATACAGAACAAATGGACATCCTTTAGGGGATGCTCTCTCTATAGACAGAGGCCACTGAGCATAAACAGCTCAGGTGACATGAATGTTTTGAAATCTGACCTCCAAGGAACGGGGGAAATCCCAGGCCAAACACAGCCCCGATGTCTCCTTCCACAGGGCTGTTCAAAATGCCCTCTTGCAAACACAGCACGGCCTCGTTGACAAATCGAGACACAAGTCTGTACTGCACATCTGAGTCTGATGAACTGTAAAGGGATTCACGTGCAAGAACAAGAGTATTTCAAAAATCAATATTTAACAGTAAAACAATGTACCAAAAATAAATAAATAAAATTCCACTCCCTACAACTGGACTTTTTTTTTAAGTTAACAGCGTGTACTTTTGTACTTGCTCGAATAGTAATGTATAAGGCCACGTTCACACTGCAGGCTTAAGTGGCTCAAATCCGATCTTTTTGCCCAAATGTGACCCATATCCGATTTCCTTATGATAGTGTGAACAGCACAAATCCGATTGTTTTCAAATCCGGCCCAGGCCACTTTCATATGTGGTCCTAAATCGGATACATATCCGATGTTTTGCAATG